TCTTCTTCCAAATGTTGGCTACATATTACATGTTTTTTATCTGGCCAGAAGTTTGATGGCAAATCCTCCCTCTTCAAGTTGGCAATCTAATGATGATACATTTTTATTTTTCACTTTTACCTGATGTATTGCAACATCCAACTGCCATACACATGGGCATAGTCAGTTTGACTATAGCTTTTGCGAATTTCAGTGGTGAAATCTATAATAATTGTTGTTGATTGCAGGTGTGTATAATAGTTCCCATTCATTTTGCTTGTACAGCGGGGAGAATGGTGGTTAGGACTGAGGTGTTACTATACTTTGGCAAAAAGGACCAGTCCCAGACTCAGTGATCACGACGAAAATTATTACTTTTATTTTTTTACTGATCAACGCTAAATTCATTAAATCATCACCAATGTATTACTTTTAAATAATGATCCATTGATTATTCCTTGCTGACCGTTTTTTTCCTTAAATATTAGCAAAGAATCATCAAAATAATCTAAGGCTACATTTACACTGCAGGCCTTTGATGCTCAATTACGATTTTTTTGTGAAATCTGATTTTGTTTCGTTGCCGTTCACATTTCCAAATATATGCGACATGTATGTGATCTCCTGGGTGAACTGCAGTCATACAACCCAAGTGTCCTGCATGCGCAGCAGAGAACGCAATGACGTCACAGGCCAGCGTGCTCTGTGTTTACGGAGGTAAACATGGATGGTAGTGCTGGAGCGATGTTTCCCAACCATAAGAACACAATCTTTTCAAGATGGTTAAACATAAATAGTGCTATTCGCATCATAGTTTGCCATGGTTGGGGTTTTTCTTGCCGCTTCTTCATAACAAGACGAAGAATAGTGACCTTTGTCAGGTCACTATTCTCAAACACAGTTTCAACTTTTAGGATAAGGCCACTGCTGTCAGAATATATTAATGACTGTGTGGGACTGAGTTGTTTATTGATGTGCTCTTATTCAGTTTTTTACTTTTTTAAGAGAACAGACATTATCCTGAGGAAAACAGTACTGCCTCAAGAGGCTGGATTTCCTGAAAAAAAGAAAGCCAAACACAGGGTGTTTACTTTGTTGCACCAACAAAAGGACAAAAGTTGACGAGCACACAGAAACAGGTCCACATGAAAGTAGGAGAGATCGATAGGTGTATAAAAAACA